TCCTGGATTTCCACTTGTGATGATGCAAATTATACATTTAAGCATAATCAATATATGCTTAAATCTCCTGGAACCTGATGAAGCCTGGATCCATCCATAAACAGACATTACACAGTTAAGAAACAGGCATTTAAATAGAGATAACTATGTCCTTGCTTTTACTAAAAAGTATTGCTTTTTATAGAAAATTAGGCATAGCCTATGTTATAATAGTGTAGAATTTACATTTTTAAAAAGTGCTTTCCTTCAAACTCCTCTAATTTTTCTCCTTGTTCTTTCTAAATCAAAGTACATGTACTTTCTCCTCCTAAAATGCTACATGCGGACAGGCCTGTCTCCAATATTTGAGAAGCCCAGGGTTAGAGCATGAGAGGAGATCCCTGGCCCACGCTCCCTTTCTCAGCTCTGGCTCCTGCATTACCAGGAGTCACCCTGAAGCCTCTCAGGCATACCAGTGAAATCCCAGCCCACACCTCCCGATTCTTTTTGCACAGCTGTCCTTTGGCCTTCCCCTGGCCCTAGGGGTATATACACTTGCGGCATGAACGGCCCCCAGCAGAACAGATGGGTAGAAGGCCTGCACAGACTTAGGCAGTTGGTCAGGGAATTCCAGGGTCCCAGGAACCTTAAGCAAGAGTGGGGGTGTGGGCTGTGAGTGGGCACATCCCTTTGAAAGCCTGAAATCTTGCTCTTATGCAGAAGGATCCAGCCAGAGGAGGACTGGAACAATGCCCTCTAAAGTACAGGGTCCAGAGTAGGGGCCCAGGCTGCCTGGGTCACAGAGTGGTGCTGTGTATAGACTATCTATACAATGCCCCTGTATACGTTACATAAGTGAATACCTTGGTCTGGATGTTCTATCAACACATGTTCCACACAAACCACTGTCAGAGATTTCAAGGTTCTAGAAGGCAAGAACTAGATAGATAACATTTTCTTTGTATGGCAGCTACTTTATTTAGGCAGAGAAACCTCTTGATGTTGCAGTGCAAATATGACTATGTCAACTGGCTGCTAAAATCCTGAAAGGGGAATAAGGAAATGTTTATCTGGAAGTCATTGTATGAGTAAGGTTGTGTGATACCGTTAAAAAATACAGATGTCAAAAAAATTCTCACCAACAAAGATTCAGGCAGAGATTTGGGGGTTCCTAAATCACTTTCTTGCACATGTCCCCAGGCTTCCCTCCTTGACCACCCTGCTCATCTTCAAGGTAATACTCAGGGGGCCGGCCTGGTGGCACAAGCGGTTGGGTGCATGCGCTCCGCTGCTGTGGCCTGGGGTTCGCCGGTTCGGATCCCAGGCACGCACCTACGCACTGCTTGGCAAGCCACACTGTGGCGGCGTCCCATACAAAGTGGAGGAAGATGGGCACGGATGTTAGCCCAGGGCCAGTCTTCCTCAGCAAAAAAAAAAAGGGGGGGGGAGGATTGGCAGATGTTAGCACAGGGCTGATCTCCTCACCAGAAAAAAAAAAAACAAGGTAATACTCAGCACCTCCCTCTTCTGGAAGCCTTCCTCAAGCTCTCAGGCCAAGCCAGGTGCCCTCCTCAGGGCTCCCACAGCTCTTATCACCTGGCACTGCAATTGCTCCCTGCCCATCAGCCTCTCCACTAAGCTGCTGAGCCCTGAGGTCTGGCACTGCATCTCATCAGCCACTGCATTCCCATCGCTCATCCTGGGACTCGGCACACGCAAAATCCTCACTAAATGCTTCTTGCCTGATCACCAGCAGCAATAAGGATACCTAGCAAATGCAGTTTTGGAGTTGCTTTTATAACTTTTCACTACCAGGGGGTTCTAAGTACTGCTGAATTCAAGCAAAATACCATTTTAATTCCTGGAAGAGAGAGATGGTCTGAAAATAAATCAAACACCTGAACGTGTAGTGTCACAGAAATGGAGACCACCGGAGGCACACATGAATATCACATAAATGTACTCTGAACTGTCTAAATGTCATTCATTTGTAAAGTTGACCTCAGGTTATATGCGTTTAAAAAGGGAAGCGTTTAAAAAAGCATTTGTTAAAAGTCACACTTTTGCAGAAAGAATTTATATGCACACACACACACACAGGTGTGTTATCACTTTAATCAATAGATCTCAAAATCTTACTATTACTGAAACTAGATTGAGGGTGCCTGTGACACCTACCAGAAACTGTTTATACTTACTTGAAATATGGCACATTGTATCCACTTTAAACAAGGTTAATGATATGCGGCAGATGGATTACTTCAAGAAAATGGAATGTTATGGAAAAGCAATTGCCTTTTGACCTGAAACCATGTATGATGTTATTTCTACCTGCAATCTGGGACTACTGAAATATTAAACACTGGGCAATAATATCAAAGCCAGCCAAAACATTAAAAAATACTGAACATCTACAGGGGTCTGATAACTTTGTAAATCTTACTTAGAGGCATCTATGAAGGAAAGACACCCCCGGTCCCCAACAGAGAGAGAGATAGTGGCCCTCTGAGGGAACACCACCTGCTGTCCTCACTCTGTAAGTTTCCTGTGGAGAGTCAGGAGGAGAGCAGGCTTATGCAAAGGAGTAGGGTGTGATTTCTGTTTTTCCCTCTTCCATACCACACCTCTCTCAGATTCCAGCCTCTTTCCTGTTCAGAAAGCTGTTGTATGTCCCCGGACTGTGGGCTCAAAGCAGATGCAGCCACAGCTCCATCCCAGGTAGATCCAGTGGTTCCATTTGAAAGCCAGCAGCTTCTTAGCATTCTTTCCGCTGAAAAATCGGGATGCTCTCTGTTGCCAGCAAGGACTGAAGGCCCTCCTAACAGCTTCTGGGGTCCAGATCAGGCGAGTTTGTGCGACACTGTGCAAGCTTGGGTCTCACTCTGTAGGAGAGCCATACCTTCATAAGGAGGACTGGAGTCAAGAACTAAAGGGGTTTCAGAAATTTTTTGCAACCAGAACAAAAACCAAACTACCTAACCAACTGGGTGCTTTCATCTCTCATCTTGTTAAGACAGACACCTGGTTCCCCAAGTTCATCCTTTATTCAAAACTCAAAGCAAATCACAAGCAAACGTGGTCTGCTCACTGTGCCCTGAATGGACATTTCACTGCCTACCAGCTTTAGTTCTCCAACCCCACTTCCCTGGAGCTGGGGTCCCTGCTTACCTGTTAAGTCTTCACTGACCCCATCCCCAATGATCTCATCTTTCCTTAAATTCAGAACCTGTCTCTATCACCTGCCTATGTGAATTGTTAAATGAGGCAATTAATCACCATCAAACAGTGGAATTATTAAAAATCCTCTGGATCTCGCAGCTTTCTTATACCACTGCCTTACAGGACCATTTAATCCCTCCATGCCTTGATTGCCCTTCCCACTAGACTGTCAGCCTCTTGAGGTGAGCCTATGTCTCTTTCCTTTCATTTTCCACGGAATAGGTCCTTAATATTACATTTTCTGAACACTTTGAGATGGAAGGGAGAAGGGGCTTTTATTTTTAGCAAGATAGTTTGCAGGAACAAATAGTAATTAACAACTACTCCTGGCCCATTCTTATTCTCAGCAGGGGCTGCCCTCAAAGGAGCCATTGATAAATGCTCCATTCTCTATTGATAATAAATGATACTACTTTCCCACCTAAGCCAGGCCTGAGAACTTTTAGGCCTGATGACTTTGAAGATCCCTGCAAGCCCAGGCATCAAGCAGGAGGGACCGGCAGGCAGAAGTTCCCAGAGGGTCTGTGAAGGTTATTATACATATGCACACGTGCAGAGCCTACCCCAAGGGCTGTTAAGACTGCAGGAGAATTAATGGGACTAAATCATAAAAATCTGACAGATACACTTCCACGGTGGTAGAACCAGTTCTGAGCTTCCTCCATGCTCTCGCCTACAGCAGAGCCAAGCAAATACTCAGTTCAGATCCCTAAAAAGGGGCGGTGTCTCTCCTCGGCTACCAGTACAACGATGTCAAAAATCCCAACACGCAACAGTTAGAATGGGTCGACCCAGTCTCTTCCGACAGTAGCCTGCCCATGCTCTTTGCAGACACCCTTGTGCTCCCCAAACTGCCTGCAGAATGCTGGAGGACTCCGTGCAGCCGAACTTCCCGCAGGGTGGCACCTAGAAGAGCAAGTGACTTAAAAACGAATGAGACAAGCCACGCTCCCACTGCTCCGAAGCGACTGGCGTATTCTTCTAAAATAAAAAGGTCTCTGTCTGCAAATCCCGTTTGCTCGCCCGGTAATCCACCCCCGCCCCCAGCCTGCGCGTCCGACCCGTACAGCTGTTTTTAATCCCTACTTTTCTCACTTGGCGTCCCGGGCTCAGGTTGACCAGACGCGGAGCCACTTAGCGTTTCCTCCTCCCCCTGCCGGGGTCTGTCCTCCCTCCGCCGTCTCCTCTTTCTCTGCCTGCATCCCCGGGGGGCAGAGTGTGGGAAGAACGAATTTCCGCCCGGTTTGCTCGCCACTCGCCGACTTGGGTCCCTTCCGGACGCAGTCTGCGCACCCCCGGCTCCTCCCCCGGCTGTTCCACGGAGGCCGCGCTCCCGGTCTGGGACCGAGAGCGAGGAAGCGCGGGGCTGCGGGGGCCGAGCCGCCGGGGCGCAGCAGCCAAGCCGCGCCCCGAGGAGCTCTTGGAAGGGCTCCCGCCTGCAGCTGGGGAATCCGCTCGGCGGGGAGAATCCGTGCCAGGGAATCCAGCTCTCCGGACTCACGCTGCAAACAAAAAGCTCAGGTCTTGCTCCCTCCCTCCGCCCCCCCCCCCCCCGACGCGCACCCGGAGAAACAGTTTTCTGCAGAAATGCAACAAGTAGCACCCGGAGCTCGCGAAGCGCCCTGCGCCGCCTGACTTGGCCCGGCGAAGCCCGCCTGTAGAGATCCGCCAGCCACCGGACAAAGGGCGGAGGAGGGGCTGGACCGCGCAGCGAAGTCCGAAAGAGGCCATTTAGTGACTCTGGCCAGGCCAAGGGGAATGCAGAGGAGACACAGAGCCGGCGGGCCAAGAGGACGATCCGGCCTCAGCACGCAGGGCGGGCGGCGATGGAGGCTGCCCGCGCCGTGCGCTTCCTATTCGTGGTGTGCGGCTGCCTCGCGCTCCCGCCGCGGGCCGAGCCTGTGTGCCCGGAGCGCTGCGACTGCCAGCACCCCCAGCACCTCCTGTGCACCAACAGGGGGCTCCGCGCCGTGCCCAAGACCAGCTCGCTGCCGAGCCCCCAGGACGTGCTCACCTACAGCCTCGGCGGCAACTTCATAACCAACATCACGGCCTTCGACTTCCACCGCCTGGGGCAGCTCAGACGGCTTGACCTGCAGTACAACCAGATCCGCTTTCTGCACCCCAAGACTTTCGAGAAGCTCTCGCGGCTGGAGGAGCTCTACCTGGGGAACAACCTCCTGCAGGCGCTCGCCCCGGGCACGCTGGCCCCGCTGCGCAAACTGCGCATCCTCTACGCCAACGGGAACGAAATCGGCCGCCTAAGCCGCGGCTCCTTCGACGGCCTGGAGAGCTTGGTCAAGCTGCGGCTGGACGGGAACGCCCTGGGGGCGCTCCCTGACGCGGTCTTCGCACCCTTGGGTAACTTGCTCTACCTACATCTGGAGTCCAACCGGATACGCTTTCTGGGCAAGAACGCCTTCGCCCAGCTGGGCAAGCTGCGCTTCCTCAACCTCTCTGCCAACGAGCTGCAGCCCTCTCTACGCCATGCGGCCACCTTCGCACCGCTGCGCTCCCTCTCCACGCTCATCCTCTCGGCCAATAGCCTGCAGCACCTAGGGCCGCGTGTCTTTCAGCACCTGCCACGCCTTGGCCTACTCTCACTCAGGGGCAACCAGCTCACGCACCTCGCGCCGGAGGCCTTTTGGGGCTTGGAGGCCCTGCGCGAGCTGCGCCTGGAGGGCAATCGGCTGAGCCAGCTCCCCGTGGCGCTGCTGGAGCCTCTGCACAGCCTGGAGGCGCTGGACCTGAGCGGCAACGAGCTGTCCGCTCTGCACCCCACTGTCTTTGGCCACCTGGGCCGGCTGCGCGAGCTCAGCCTGCGCGACAACGCGCTCAGGGCCCTCTCCGGGGACATCTTCGCCGCCAGCCCGGCCCTCTACCGGCTGGATCTAGACGGCAACGGCTGGACCTGCGACTGCCGGCTGCGGGGCCTGAAACGCTGGATGGGCGACTGGCACTCACAAGGCCGGCTTCTCACCGTCTTCGTGCAGTGTCGCCACCCCCCGGCCCTGCGGGGCAAGTACCTGGATTACCTGGATGACCAGCAACTGCAGAATGGGTCTTGCGCTGATCCCTCGCCCTCAGTTTCCCCGACTGTCGACAGCAAGCCGCGGCCCTTACCCACGGCCGTGGGGGGGGAGATGGCGCCCCCTGCAGGTGGCCTCGCGGAGCAGCTGCCGCCGCAGCCACAGCAGCGGGGGCGATTTCTGCCTGGGGTGGCCTGGGATGCAGCCGCCAGGGAGCTCTTGGGCAACCGCAGCGCCCTGAGGCTGAGCCGACGGGGCCCGGGCCTCCAGCAGCCCCCCTCTGCCGCTGCTGCAGCGGGCCCCGCGCCACACCCCCTTGACCTGCTCGAGAAGCCCGAGCGGGGACGTCCGACTCCGGCCGATCCTGTCCACGCGGAGCCCACCCCGACAGCCGCGCCCGCCTCTGCGCCACCGCCCGCCGGCGACCCCTGGCAGCGCGCGGCGAAGCAGCGCCTGGTCGCAAAGCAGCAGGAGAGCGCCGCCCAGGCCGACGCTGGGGTCGGCCTGCCGCCGCTGGTGTCCGACCCGTGCGACTTCAACAAGTTCATCCTGTGCAACCTGACGGTGGAGGCGGTGGGCCCCGACAGCGCCTCAGTGCGCTGGGCCGTGCGCGAGCACCGCAGCCCCCGGCCGCTGGGCGGCGCGCGCTTCCGCTTGCTCTTCGATCGCTTTGGCCAGCAGCCTAAATTCCACCGCTTCGTTTACCTGCCCGAGCGCAGCGACTCGGCCACACTGCGCGAGCTGCGCGGGGACACCCCCTACCTGGTGTGCGTGGAGGGCGTGCTCGGAGGCCGGGTCTGCCCGGTGGCCCCCCGGGACCACTGCGCCGGGTTGGTCACCCTGCCGGAGCCTGGGAGCCAGAACAGCGTCGACTACCAGATGCTGACCTTGGCCCTGCTGGCCGTCAACGCGCTGCTGGTGCTCCTGGCCTTGGCAGCCTGGGCATCACGCTGGCTGCGGAGGAAGCTACGGGCCAGGCGGAAGGGCGGCGCCCCGGTGCACGTTCGCCACATGTACTCCACGCGCCGGCCGCTGCGCTCCATGGGCACCGGCGTGTCTGCCGACTTCTCTGGATTCCAGTCGCACCGGCCGCGCACCACCGTGTGCGCGCTTAGCGAGGCTGACCTCATCGAGTTCCCCTGCGACCGCTTCATGGACAGCGGGGGCGGCGGCGCGGGCGGCAGCTTGAGGCGGGAGGACCATCTCCTGCAGAGATTTGCTGACTAGCTCCGGGGCCTCCAGGGGAGTGAAGACCTTCTCATTGGCCTTGAGGAGCCACCTCTCCACGGGGCCCCTCAGCCCACCTCAGGGGAAGATCTCATTTTATCAGACCTTCTCCTTTCCACCTTTTGTGCACTTGCCAGAGAGGCCAAAGGGAGCAGACAGCCAATTCGGCACCACCCCACAATTCTCAGTACTCACTCACTAACTACATGGATGGTGTTAGTGGTCACGGCCAAGAGTAGGGGACAAATGGATGGTGGATTCCGGAGGTGGGAGGCCTTCTTTACGTGGAGACCTTGGCGCAGCTATGGGAATGGCTTTTGTGGCATTGCAATACAATAACCTGGCCGCCTTTGGGGTAGAAAAGGGTGCTTGTGCCCCCAACATGGCCGGAAAGAGATTTGGGTGCATGCTTTTGTTTGTTCAGTATCAAACAAAGGAGTTTTGTTTCTATTTAAGGAAAAAGGAACCTATTACCATTACAAAGGAGGCTTGGCAACTGACTCCACTGGTCTGGTGGTCTCTGCCAAGAAGGGTGATGTTGTAAACAGGTGGTAAAGTTTAACACACTCGCCAAGGAACTCTTTTATGTTGGTTGATAGAACATTCAGGATAACTTAATGTTTAAATAGAGACGCTATTTTTTTTTTTCAACAATGTGAAGAGCTCTGACATGTAAACTGACGAATAAAGTCAAGGACTGTTTTAGTTGAGCCGGCCGTTCAACTATTTTTACATTAACCCCACAAGAACGATTGCTGACCATAGGGTTCACTAAGATTACACACTTTCTCAGGAGACGGCTGCATGCGAGCCTTCTCTGTCAGGGTTGCCCCTGTGGCTGTTTAAGTTTGTTTTTTAAACCTATATATGGAAAAGGAAATTTCAGTGCCAGACTTGATAAAAGAATGTAATGTGTGTGTAACTGATGACCCCATAGGGAATGCCAGCATTCTAGTTCACTTACTACATCTCTGACAGTGTGTTCAGATTGGAATAAGTGTGCTGTGGTACTTCTCATGTTTTTATCAGTGACATGTAGTTGACTGTGCCTGTTTCTCTTGAGTTGCACAGTTAGCTGATAAAGGTGATTTCCTAATAGGAGGGGAGCAAAAGGTGATTGTCAGTTGATAGTGTAATGTTTGATCGCATTGATGTCTTACTCTATATGAAATAGTAGAGGGGAAGAAATTATTGGGAAAAATGTGAAAAAATGTACATCAGTGGTTGTCTGTTTCTACTAAAACCAGAAGATTGTTTTGAGTACTTAAACCTCACTGTGAACTAATTATATATTTTGCAAATTAATCCCTTCACTACTCAGTGTTTTACTGTGTTATTAAATTTTATCTTTTAGTTAATAATTGCAGTATTTCTCTTAAATGTTTTTGTTTTAAACTTAGGGTTAGGCTTCTTTATTTGCTCAGTTGTTTTCAATTATTTGGGATACTTTTGTTCCCTGATATTTATGAAGTACATGTTTATCACTAAATGTAGTGCTTTGGTTTACATTTATAATTTTGTGTGTGGTCTAAAAATGCAGTCACTAAGAGGGCGTGCACGGCTAGATTCACCGTGGTTATGGGTTTATGGGCAGTGGGGTGCCGTGGAGGCCACTGCAATGGTGCTAAGGCTAACTGAATCTTCTGTTTAGGGCCTTAAGCCCCTGAGGGTCCTGATGACTCAGGGAATCTGTCATAGTCCAGGGGTCCTTCAACCCCAGCCCACTCCTTTTATATATGGCCTCCACTGAGCCAGGCCTGCCCTCGTCCCAACAGCTGAGCAGGGACCCAGGGATCTAAATGAGCTGATCTTTGTTTATATTCCGATGAGTAAATGTCCAGACCACTTAAAGTACAGCTGCTTTTCTGGCAGTCTTATCTGTGGGGCCAAAACTTAATAAACCACAGGAAATAGACTGTCATTCTTAGTTTGCTTCCGGGGCTTGTTTCAGATTCTGAGCATTTTGGTACATGGGAGAGGTGTAGTTCGCTCTTGTTTGCAACCTTTGGGCTATCGTACACCCCTCGTGCTCCTAGCTTTTTTCATTCATAGAGTGACTGCATCTCTTAGCTGTTTCTCTTGCCCAGCAGTGTAATATTGAGTCCCATTGAAAGTCTGGAAAAGACCTCTGGTTCTTCCGACCACCCACGCTTTCAAAGGCAGAACATCACTGAAAATGCTTAATGCCTGGATCTATGTAAAAACAGTTTCACTGGAAAGTCTTTCAGTGGGAAATGAATAAATGTTATACATTGTCATGTTCAATTGTGTCAATAAACCCGCTTACTAATGGAGATGTTTTATTCTTGGAGTTTCCAACTATTTTATACACCTTTGCAATGATACACTGCCTTTTTCTACAGCGGTTTTCATCAGTGAAAATGAAACATAAGCTTGAAGTCTTTCTTTCCTCTTTTAATGTTTTTTTATTTCTATTTCTGTGCTAGAGAATGGACTTTATTTTTAAGAAATGGTTGTGTGACTCTATCGCAAAGAAACAGTGAGATGGCTCTAAAAGCAGATGGTCAGCCATGATGTGAAAATACTGTTAAAACACCAGTGACCGCAAGATGATCCGTCTCAGCAGGCTGTTTAATGGAAAGTGAATTAAAAGTCAAGCCCTTTGACTCGCTTGGTCAATAATAAGGAATTATCATGAGCTGGAGGTCATTTTTGCCATTACAAAGTTTATGAAAAGGTAAAATTCCTAAAGAAAAAAGAATAAACTTTGTATGAAGCAGAAGTGTTCGATTAAAGAGCCATTGAAGCAGTCTGGAATGTGGTGGGACCCTCTGCTCAACCAGTAGGATTATTGCTTTCATAAAGCAGACCATTTTCCAGGCAGGTAATCATTAGCATGTGATCAGAACACCTTTACTAACTGGCCACGTACCTGGTTTTCACCAGAAGTACAGCAATATGGGCAGCTACTGTATATTAAGAAACTACTAAAATAGACGCTGGATTAGCTGGTATTTGTAGTTAACTACTCCCCCGCCTGCTTCTAAGACTTGGAGATAAGTGACAATGAAGCATTCTGATGCCAGAAATTTATTCAAAATTCCAGACCACGACCCAGGATCAAAATAGATCCTTGCTCCCTCCTGTGCCTTCACCATCTCAGAGAATTACAGCATCATTAAAGTTCAGAACGATTTTAAGGAAGTGATGAAAGAATTTTAGTCATCTGAGATTGCATTCATTCTCTTTGGTTAATTTTTTTGTGCCTCAGTTTCTGCACCAGTTAAAATGGGAATCCTGAAGTCCTGACTGCATGGTGCTATTGTGAGGAGTCAACGAGTAAACAGTGTTTGACAGCACCAGGTACACAGCAGGTGTTCAATAGATATTAGATACATTGTTAGAGCAGTAATCTGTGGCATTTCTGCTTGAACCCTAACCACTCAGAAAATTCAGATACTAAGATTATAGAAACCCTTTCCTTCTTGTTCTGGTTAATTGAGGCTTTTCTATAGTTTAGTGTAGAAGGATAGCTCTTGAAATACTTGCTCATTACTTAAAAAAAGTGAATTTAGGGGCTGGGCCGGTGGCATAGTGGTTAAGTTTACATGCTCTGCTATGGCAGCCCGGGGTTCACAGGTTCAGATACCTGGGTTGGCGGCTCCGGGGTGGGGGGTGGGTGTTTGGGGCGAGATCTACACACTGCTTATCAAGCCATTCTGTGGCAGCGTCCCACATATAAAGTAGAGGAAGATGGGCACAGATGTTAGCCCAGGGCCAATCTTCCTCAGCAAAAGGAGAAGGATTGGCAACAGATGTTAGCTCAGAGCTAATCTTCCTCACACACACATAAAAAAGTGAATATACTAGGGGCCAGCTCCATGGCTTAGCCGTTGAGTGCTCGGGCTCTGCTACTGGCGGCCCAGGTTCAGATCCCAGGCGCACACCGACACTACCGCTTATTGGGCCATGCTGAGGCCGTGTCCCACATAGAGCAACTAGAAGGATGTGCAACTACGACATACAACTATCTTCTGGGGCTTTGGGGAGAAAAAAGGAAAAAAAGGAGGAAGATTGGCGATAGATATTAGCTCAGGGCCGATCTTCCTCAGCAAAAAGAGGAAGATTGGCATGGATGTTAGCTCAGGGCTGATCTTCCTCAAAAAAAAAAGTGAATATACTAGTATTTGAGCAAACTCTTCTATGTTTATTAAACTGTCGGCATAAGTTAATTCATCATTTAGATCAGGGCCAGGGATGGGTGAATGGTCTTACTTGTATAGTGCCCCTCTTCCCATTAACTTACTGATAGCATCTCCAACTATCCTCTTACTCTTAGTTTACTTAAAGGCTACTTTGCATGCACAAATGCTTTTTTTCTAGGGATTTCAGGTCACTTCATCCTTCTCAATCATGTGGCAAATAGTATTCTTTTCATTTTCCGTGGGAGACAGGTATTGGGAGATTATGCTTAACTATATTAATTACTGAAATAATTAGGAAAAGCATGTAGCTTTCTGATACATTGTTGCTTTTTCTTGGCGCAGAGTACCTAACTATCCCATTATATCTGTTTGAGAGATTTTAAACTACCTGTGGTGTGATTCCTTGTTGACACAGAAATGTGGCTTTATAATTTGGCTGTGAACTGGCATCAGAAGCTAGACAGAAGTAAATTGTCATGTAGCAGCATTTCAAGCAAGAGCATCTCCTGACTATGTAAATCCATAACGTTCCTTTCAAACTCACTGAAGGTTTGTAACGCCAGCTCTGTGCCATAGTTACTGCTGAGACAGGGCAGCACTGTTGTGTGTTAAGATCAGCCATGATCATGTAGCAGTTATTCACCATTCCAAGTTACAGTTTCTGATTAAGTAATACTTACCCTACAGCTGATTCTACACGTCACTCTCACTTACGTATACTGTAGCCTGTGGAGACATACTTTTAATGACTACCCTCTTATTCCCTTCTCTCCCAGTTGTGCTGTCCTTCTAAGGAATTTTACTGTAGGAAATTAAAATGATTGCAAATAATAACAAACGCCCATATTAGTACCACTCAGTAATGGTTAACTTTTTTTGATGTTTGTTTTCAGCCTTTAATGTCTGTATTGACAAAACCCCTGATTTCCTTCCCCACACAATGTCCTCAACCAACTACCAATGTGAGTTGGAATTGTTTCTGCTGAACAGTCAATTTTCCTCATTCACGGAAGTTATGTTGTTTAAGATCCCAGCAAACACTGGATTAGTGAGTACTGAACCGTTGCTCCTAAGGGAAATTCAAGGTTGGGTTCCTGTGAGCCTCTTGTCACATTTTCACCAACCTATCAATACATAACCTTATTTTATGTGTGTTTCTGTTTGAAGACACCTTATTTAACATATATTCTTGATTCATTAACATTGAACTCACAGCCGAGAGCCCTATAATTCATGCCTGAACGAAGCTTATCTAACACCTAAGACACATCACAGCCTTTCCATGCTTAAAAACAAACACTAGCCAGCACTTCAGCACTATGCTTGGGAGCCCTTTTACACAACAAAATCACCGACAAAAAGCACGAAAATGCAAAAAATGGGGCACCAAATAGGCTGTGAAAAGGACACTTGTTTATAGAATGCGAGCTAAAGCAAGAAGGTGAAACATTGCCTTTTTCATCTTCAGCTGGGAACATGCACAGGCAGCTCAAATTTTCCTCGACTCCGCGCGTGTCCTCAAAATGCGATAAACGTGAGGCAGAGTATTGGTTCTGGGGTTACGAATAAATTTTGGTAAGTAGGCGAGTTCACAAATACATAATCTGTGAATAATGAAGATCAACTGTACTTTTTATCTTCCCAGATCGTCCTCCTGTGCCCCCAACCCTTTTCTCCATGCCATAAATTACCATTTTTACCCCTCGAGCAATCTTTTGTCTTTTAAATTGGTAATCACACCTAACATTCCAACTGTATTGTTGGTGATTGTAGCTTTATATGTGTGTGTATTGAGGGTGGAGGTGGGGAGTTTTCTTTTTAACATTTTTAGTTTGTTTGATATTTTCTAGTTATTCTCTTCAGTGTTTTGCTCTCTTGCTACATGTGCATAGTTTCTGTTTCTTCTTTGGGGGTGCTTATCATACCTGAAAGATGTACCTACTTGTGTGTCTTTTCTTTCCTCTGCCGCTTACCTCTCCCCTTTTCTCAGGAACAGCTCCACAATGAAGAAAGTGCTAAGTATATCCCT